TTCGGAGGTGGTTCAAGCATCTACTTTGAACGCCTTCAAGAGACATTTGGATGTCTATCTTGCTGGGATCCTATGACCCCTGCTGACTTCCTTCCCTTTGGGCGGGGGGCTGGATTCGATGATCTTCCGAGGTCCTTTTCAGCCCTAATGTCTGTGAATCTATGAATCAAAAAAAGAGAGGCTGCATTCTTCAAACACCGCTTACTCCCAAAATTAGTCCTGTCATCTTTATGATAATACATCTGCTTCTAAAACAAACATCTTGATTTCTACAGTAAATCGAGTACAGTATCAAGTTACAGTATTCAGGAAAGTTTCCCCTTATCAACATCTACAGCATTTCACTATTTACATAGTAAGGCTGTACCCTTTTTATAGATACACATGCATAAAACCCAAACCACCTGCGCCAGAGTTCATAGGAAGATGAATCAGCTGGCATTGTGGCAGTCAAAATTATGCTGGTGACTAACTGTAAATTTCCATATTTTCTTAATATGGCATTCTATACTTTTCCCCTGTAACCTTAGCTCAGCATCCTCAATTTTTTTCGAATTACTACATTTTCTGAAATCTGTTCCCACTTCCTCTCCCTCCTTTCCCTTATTCCATCTTGCGGAATAAGGGAAAGGGCGCTCCTGTTACTTTAAGAAGCAGCAGCAGGCTGACCTGCCACATTGCCAGTCCACTTATAATAAACAGAATTGGACTTTTTTTGGGGGAGGGGGAGGGTGGTTAAGTTGCTTTAATTTTGGAAGTCATGGGTTGATAAACACTCCCACTTCCTTTTCTTTGAAGTAGGTTGAGCTTGTTTTGGGCTTGTTTTTAAAAGCAGCCCCACTTCTTTTTTCTCACGAGACTTGACAACACTGTTGACCTGGATCTGGGAGGGCTGGCTCTAGGAAGCAAGCTAACTGCGAGTGAGCTAGTTGTTAGCAAACAGGCAGACTTGTAGCCATACAGCTAGGGGCTAATTCTGGTGGGGGAGTAACTCTCCCCAGGGAATAATGGCAGAGCAGTAAGCCATGCCAGGGCAAACATCTAGGCAGCCCAAAAGCACAGAGCCACAGCAGGGGAAGGCAGATTGGTCACGCCCTGTGTATGGCTGGAGAGCCACCTGATCGGAAGGGGCAGGGATTAGGAGGCATAGATGGCCAGTGCCTGAGAGCAGGCAGTCAGTTTAGTCTTGTAGGTAGCAGAGAGAGCAGCTCCTGAGCAGGATAGCTGTAGGAGAGTAATTTCCTGATACCTGAGCTGCCCTCGAAACTGCAAGTTAGTTGTTAGTTGGAAGGAAGTATTCCTCAGCATGGGGATAGTTTTAGTTACAGCTTGTTTATCATTGCATAAGTGGCAATGAGGATCCTACAGTGGGGTGCTTGAGGGGCTCACTAAGACTGAAGCCAGAGTTGAGCAGGGGTGCCTGAGAGGCATGTGGTATGGTGAGCCCTGCCAGGGACTAGACTCACAACATGAGCAGGCAGGGGCTGAGAGAGCCAAAGCCCAAGCTAAAAAGGCAATAGAGTTGGCCTGAGGCCAGGAAGGTAAGGGGCTCAAAGCCAGAGAGGGGCAGGAATCAGGGCCACAGGCCCAAAGCCTGAGGCCCCAGTGCAGTGGGTCTAGGCTAAGGAGCCCAGTTAGAGGAAAGGGTCAGGGGCTGGGAAGGCCGAGGCCCCAACAAAGGTGGCCTGACATGGGAGTGGTTAACTGGTAACATCTGAGAGCCACGGGCATGGCTGTAGGGGCAGAAGAAAGCCATAAATAGCCCTTAAGGTGACTAGTGTCTTGGGCCATGTACAGGCCAAGAGAGCTTAAGGGCAGGATGGGGAGCAGTGGGGTCCAGGAGGGCCCCAGTAGCCAAAACCTACACAAGGGCTCACTCTGGGACAGCCCTACACTCAAATTATTCCAACAAAGTTATGGGAAGTGAGAGAAGACGGCGAGTACCATAGGAGATGCAGGAGGCCCATGGCCATCAGATGGCATCACGGCCACCCCTGGGGGCCTGATCTGGCTACATGGCCCAACAACTACAATCTTTTCCTGCCTGGGAATTCATACAGCACTCTCACATCCTCCAGCATTCAGACTCCCATAAAACCCTTTAGAAGATGAAGCTGTATAACTGTAAAAGGGCATAAAAGCAGAATGATTTGCATGTAGCAGCCGGTCAGGTCCTGGCAGCAGGAATCAAAAGATACTTGCTGCTGGTGTGAAAAATAAATTCAAATAGAAGAGACAGAGAAGTGAAAGTCAGGAAAGGCATCTCTGCCTTGATTTTAGCTACTCTGTGTAAGGACCAAGTGCCAATGCCTAGGAAGCTTCAGGCTTGAGTTTTGGTACAGTGTCATGCTTGTGTACAGTTATACAGCCTGCTATCAGTGAGGGAAAACTGTGTATACTCCCTTTCGTTCTGCAGAGTCCAGAGTGTTGCAGCTGCAATACCCACTTGTCCCTGTTGCCAAGGCAGCACACATAGTACACCCACACTCCTCTGCTACCAAGGAAGCATATACAGCAAAGCTACTCTGCTGCTACATCCCTGTTACTGCCTGTAAGAGAGCTGTGTTTTCAGTGGCCAGTGCTGTGCCCTGCAAGAGCACACTGTGTTGCTTAATCCCA